ATAAATACTTAAGATAAAGTTAAAAAAAGTAAGTCTTAATAAAAATAGTATTTAAAATCTTTATAGTATAAAGTTAGAGTTTTTAAACTTATACTAAAACTAACTTTTACTTTTATAAGTTTTTTAGCTAGCTATTTTATAAAAGCTTTTAAAAAATAAATATTTATAAAAAGTTCTAATATTATATAAGTATAAGAAAAATAGTAGTAGTAAGAAAATATATACTAACTTATATATAAAAATATATAGTATATTTACTTTATAACTTATTTTAATAGTTTTTTAACTAATAAGCTATAGTTATATTACTATTTTATTTAAATTTTAAAAAAAATAATAGAGTAATTATATTACTTATATAGTAATTTTTTTTTAAAATAAGCTACTTACTAAAGTATTAGCTACTAAGCTAAAAAAGCTTAGTATAACTTTATATATACTTATATAAAGTATATATTAAACTTTAGTTTATACTTTTATAAGATACTTAGTAAAGAGTAGTTACTTATTTAAGACTTAATTTTTTTAGACTTAAAATACCTCTATACGCTATTTATAACAAAACATTAATAAGCATTAAATAGAGTGTTAAGATCGCGTACCCTTCTATGAGTAAGCCGCGAGCGCGATACGCTTTTCTTTTATCCCATTCTCCCTTTTTCCTGTGATGCGACCAGACTAAGTTCCTGTCAAAGTGTCAGACTTCGATCTTGCATCACTTCGGCAGAGAGGCGGCTGACTGTTCAGCCGTGCTTCTAAGTATCCCATTGGCTTTGTTCCTCTTATTTTCGTTCATCGCAGTCGTGTTGATCCTCATTTGAATGAATGCAGAGAGATAGCCTGCTATCATCTCATGTCGCATGGCATGCTCGGATAATCGCCTTTCTGCAGCGGCGAATTCTTCCTTCAGGCAAAGCTCACGCCTTTGTAGGAATCCTTGTCGTTTTGTAGTCATGACGTCGATTACGTGGTTGCAACTTTTCATCGTGCAAAACACCGAAGTTTGAGTTGTGACACCTGAGAAGCTGAAACGCTAGTCCTAAAAGGGTGGGGTTCCGCTGCTAGTACACCAAAGACCTTGGGAGCGCATTTCCAAAGGATTTGATACACGCCCAATCCCAGAGGTGCAGCATCGACCGGGGTGGTTGTTCTGATAACGGGACCTCGCAAAAGATGCTCTTTTGACCGCGGCATCGGGGCATATGCGGTGCCATCAGCCGCATGATAGTCAGCACTAGCTCGCTGGCTAGCTCCAAGGTTATACCGAGGCGCATTGTCTTGCAGACGTAATCAATCTAAACCATGTACACTGCAGATAGAGACAGATCATGGGCGTTGAATGAGGACAGAGAAATGTGCATCAAAATTAACTACGTAAAATGGTTCCTCATAGCTTCGACTTGGACACGATCATAGAGTTGCCAATGTTCAACCACTTGACAGCATCTGTGACAAGCTCATCCACAATCTCCCTCGCGTTCTTCCTCTCATTAACAACAGCAGCGACCTTGCCCATCAGGAACGGCCGCGCGTTGTCCATAGTCTCGTCATCGAGGTCATCGCCCATCTTCTCGAGATCATGCTCGACAGGCAATATGCCCTTGGCGGTGAGATCCTTGATCTCTTGTTGCCTGTTCTCTTCCCAGTTCTGGACGTATGGGTTGGTGCGGATACGGAGTGGGCGACCAGTGAAGATGATGGTGCGGATGTTGTCGTCCCAGCCAGCTGTGCGGACGGCTTCTTGGTGGGCCTTGGGCGCACCGGCTTCCTCGGAGAGGACGAAGCGTGTTCCGACCCAGACGCCGGTGGCGCCGAATGTGAGCATGGCCGCGAGCGACTGGCCGTTGTAGATACCGCCGGCAGCTACGATTTGTACCTGCTCGCCGGTCAAGGGCGACTTGTGGCCCTCGACCATCTTGACCGCTGCTGGGATGAAGATGGATGTGGGAACGTCGCCAGTGTGTCCTCCGCCCTCGCCTCCTTGTGCGCAAATGATGTCGACGCCGATGTCGAGGCACTTCTTGATGTGCTTGGGGTGGCCGATCATGTTCATGTAGAGGATTCCGTGCTTGTGTAGCTTCTCGACGACGGCCTTGGGCGGGACACCGACAGCGGAGACGAATAGTTTGGCGCCGGAGTCGATGATGATGTCGACGAGCTCGTTCAGCTTGCCCTTGGTGTAGTCGTAGCTATATGCCGTTAGTCCCGTGCCTTGCATGTGATGGATTGCCCAGTACGTACTTGGTCTTGCGCGCGCTGCCTCCAACTTGGGGAAGGAGCAGGTCGATACCGAATGGCGCGTTCTTGTCGTTCAGGTATCCCTTCAACTCGGCGATCTGCTCGCGGAGCATGTCGGGTGTGTATCCGACACCTCCGATGACACCAAGACCTCCAGCGTTGGTGACGGCGGCGGCGAGCTTAGGTCCAGCAGCCACGTTCATGCCCGCAAGCATGACGGGGTGCTGGATCTTCAGCAGGTCGGTGAGCTTGGTGCGGATTTGCTCTGAGGTTTGTCAGCTGGGCACATGTGAATGAGGCGTGCATGCGTACGTGGAGAAGCCATGATGACGGTATGGAGGTTTGCGGTTGAGAGAGGGAAGATGCGAGGTATTTCAACGGCAAGAGAGGAAGACGAGTGGATCGAGGATTCGGGCGAATTCTTAAGGTTTGAGGAGTCGGGCCCTTTCTTATGGTTGAGCAGTCCTGGTCGACTCTCTTCAAGCCGTGAGCCGAGGCACGTCGCATGTCTCACGCGGAGAGCGCTAACCACATATCGTCTAGTGCCATCCGGGGAAGGCTTTCGGCATCGCGCGCCTGCCTGTGTCTGTCCCACCGCGTCACATGCTAACATGTTCACTAGTCCGGGTGCATCCAGATGTTTGGCCTCGCTCAGGGCCGCCCCATCACGGTGTCCACGCCGTGTAGCCCTCTCAGTTGACGCCATCCACAGCAGAGTCTCTAATCGATCGAATTTTCACTCTTCACACACTCAACGCCAGGAATGTGATACACCCTCCGACTCTCGCGTTCCGCGCGAGTCTCCATCGCAAGATGTGCGAAAAGTTTTTTCTTATAAACCAGCCTATTGTAAGAAGGAACTTGCCATCGTTGCTTTGGGTAGCAACATGGGCGACAGAGTGGCCATGATTGAACGTGCATGCAGAGAGATGGAGTCAAGTGGAAACATAAAGATCGTACGAACCAGTAGTTTGTGGGAGAGCAAAGCCATGTACGTACTCGATCAAGACAACTTCGTCAATGGTGCCTGTCAGGTATGCTAAACAATGTCCCTTCTTCCAAACGTCAAATTCACACAAACAGATAGAAACCAGTCTGTCACCAATCGAACTCTTAGATGCGCTTCAGAAAGTTGAGAATGACATGGGCCGCGTTAAAGTCATCGACAAAGGACCCAGAAATATTGATTTGGACATTTTACTCCATGGAAACGAGAAAAGTTCCAGCGAAAGACTTACGATCCCGCATGCGTTGATGTTCGAGAGGCAGTTCGTTCTACGCCCTCTTATTGAGTAAGATAATCATCTATCTGGCCAGTGAAACGGTGCTGATCCTCTCTAGGCTTTTGCGCAATCAGCGTGAAGATTACCCATTCTCGAATCAAATTAAACGCCATTTCAAAAGACTCCTTAAATCAGAGGTGCCGCTGGTGCCGCTGACGCCACTTGGACCAGATCTATCCCCGATATCGTCTTCTCGGATAGCGGATAACACAAGAATCATGTCTATCCTGAATGTCACACCGGACTCATTCTCCGATGGCGGCCAAAACTACAATATCGATGAAGCAACCCTAGCGAACACTATTCGCGAACACATCTCGGCCGGAGCCACCATCATCGACGTAGGCGGACAGTCAACACGACCCGGTGCTGTCCAGGTCTCCGCCGACGAAGAGCTAGCACGTGTCATCCCAGCTGTAAAGCTGATCCGCTCAATGCCAGAGGCAAACAACATCGCAATCAGCGTTGACACATACCGCGGCAGCGTCGCCGAAGCCGCCATTAACGCCGGCGCAAACATGATCAACGACGTCAGTGCAGGTGCCATGGACGACACGATGCTTTCCACCATGGGCAAACTTGGCTGCACAGTATGTCTCATGCACATGCGCGGCACGCCGGAAACCATGACGAGTCCTGAAATGACATCCTACCCCGACGGCATCATAGAGACCGTAGGCCGCGAACTCGTCGAGCGCGTTATTGCTGCGGAAAAAGCGGGTGTCAGGCGCTGGCGTATCGTTCTCGATCCTGGTATTGGCTTTGCGAAGACAAAGGAACATAACCTTGAACTACTTCGCCGACAGGATGAGTTGATGAGGTATCCGGGTCTAGAAGGCATTCCTTGGCTTGTGGGCACGAGTCGGAAGAAGTTTATTGGGGATATTACGGGGGTCACGGAAGCGAAAGATAGGGTCTGGGGGACTGCTGTTGGGGTGGCAGCGGCTATCAAGGGTGGTGCGCAGATTTTGAGGGTCCATGATGTCAAGGAGATGGCGCAGGTTGCGAAGATGGCGGATGCACTATGGCGCACGTGAACATGACGCGGCGCGACTGCCTTCCAACGATCTTCGCTCTCGCCCTCATTTAGTGGGAGGTTTCAGGCGTCATCCGTGTTGTTGGTTCCGTTCGACACGGTAGCGCTCCGGTTGGTTCCGAGTCCTTCATGAACGTGATTGTCGACTCGCTTCCACAAAGCCTGAACCAAACAAACAATACATGGAAGGAAAACCTGTAATCTCGAACAACATCCCACTTCTCTTTACTCTCAGCATCGAACATGGCGAATCTTCGTGAGCTCCATCAAGAACTACGACGCGTACAGGACCGAGTCTTTCAGTAGGTGGTTGCCGTACTACGTCGCCGTTCATCTTGGCTAATTCTCACAGGATCAAACGTCGTCAGAGCGAGTAAGCACATTCATCACAGACGCTGTCAATGAATCGACAAAAGCTGACGGTAGACTGAAGTGAACTATGGATGGCAAGTAGTAACTCTTGGAGTGGCGATGATTGGAACGAGTGGAAAGCGTGAGTTCCTATGATTCTGAGAAAATGCAGCTTCACGGTGAGCAATTGCTTACAGACACAGTCTGAACGCAGAACTCGAAGCATCGTACGAATCACACTCAAAAGCCTGGAACAAGCTTTACTATGCCAGAATGCACGATCGGCTACCGCGCGAGATCCGGGATATGATCAATGCCGAATTCTGGGATGAAGACTACTTGACAGGCGGAGAAGGCTATAAGGTAGCCATGAAGGTTAGGGACGAACCCACACTTGGCTATATATCGTTACCTCATCGTATCCTGCCCATCTCACACGTCGTCCTACCAGGGTACGTAGGAGATGCAGCTGCAAAAGAGAACGTCCAGATGTGGTACGAGGCCTACGGAACCATGGCCTGTTACCGCGACTGGCTCGCAGTCGGCAGCCGCAATATAGGTGAAGAGCTCACGAGAGCTATATGCAAAGATATATTCGGGGTGGGCTTGGATCCTGCCACTGCTCTCCGAAAATTGACCATCGAAGTCTCCGACACCTCTCTCGTGCTAGGCCACGAGCAATCCGACTTCAAAGATGCTACCTCACGTGAAGACGCATTCAACCTGCTTCTTCGCATCAAGAAGAAGAGAGGGTTCAAGCTCGAAATCATTGTCCTCCACGATTGCATCCGTCTCAAGATGTGGCCCGAAATCCTTGGCCTCCTGCAACCCATCGTTAAGGTATTTGAGCAGGAAGGAGCCCACGTTAGTGTTTTGTCTAGTTATGACCCTCACCGCACGAATTGCATGGATGAGAGCCCGGGGGTTGGCACCGATATGGAACACCTGATCAGGACATACGATCCGGTGACTTGGGAGCAGAGTGTGAAGCAGGAAATGATCGATTATTTCGAGGGGGTGAGACGGTTGCAACTCATCTGAATGGTAATATCTGACAAGTGATTTAGATCGATGATGAGTATCTCAGACCGTACCATCGCTACTATCGTAGTGAAGAAGATAATCCAGGCTCTGATCCTGATGTCGCTGCCTGGAAACGTTATGTTGGGCCCTCTGGTGTGCGCGGAACGGGAGGATGATCAAGCTCGTTTGGGGGGAAAGATGGTAGCTGTCACTGCGTGGATGCCATGTCAATCTAACTCTTTTAAACCACATGCTAATGTACCAGTTTGGCACATGAGGCGTTCAATAATCGTGAGGCCACCCATGAAGTACGCGTAGGTGGGGCAAACCGCGAATCTAGTGCGACTTCGCCTTACGAACATGATGATAATCTACACTTCATGACTTCCGTAGGAGAATAAATGCTTTTGACTCAGACTGCCATCTTATCTTCTTTCGCGCTTCACTACGACAATGAAAAATTCATACGACTTGGAACGAGATGTGCGCGACACATGTAATAGACTTTTCATGTTTGTGTCTCCATTCTCATACATTGCTGCCTGGACTGCAGAAAAACTGACCTGCCTGACTAGCCTGAAACGCGCAAAAACTGCAGCAGAGAAGAAAGAGCGTACAGCAGCAAAACATGAGTGGCTATCAGCAGCGGAGAAGAAGACGGAAGTGCAGGCGTCAGTGACCGCCAACTCTACCCAATTTTATCCATCGCTGACTTTGCCCTGTCCATAGCGAGCTCGATACGTCATGTGAGCAGTTATCGACAGCCTGGAACATGCTATGCTCTGCTAGGATGCAAGAACGACTGCCTGTCGAGATTCGCGAGATGATATATGCACAAATCTGGAACGTGAAGTATCTCAAATCCGTAAGACAGCCAAGGCAGCAGTCCGGTCCTCTTGACCACTCCGATCCGAGGTGCCATACACATGTTGTTCGGCCAGACTTCATGGGCAAAGAGACAGCCCTGGAAATGGCGCGGGCATGGTACGAAGCCGCAGCTACACTCACACCAGACACATTCACAATCCCTGATAATCGGGAGTCGATCAAACGAACCGTGTGTGAAGATTGCTTCCAAGTCGGCCTAGACCCAGCAACCGTCCTTCGGACTCTCACCATCGACTTCGACGAAACTACGTCTAGGCTCGCTAGTCCGTATTGTAAGTGGCCGGACGCAGATACACGCCGCAATTCTTTCGATCTTCTCCACTTGATCAAGAAGAAGGCCGGTTTCCGACTCAACTTTCGTATATGCACTCCCAAGTTCCGATTGAACTGTTGGCCCGACTTCTTCGATCTCTTACAACCTATAGTCAAGACTCTGGAGAACGAGGGTGCTATCGTCGACGTCCAGGCTATACATTGTAGTCAGGGTCTGCATCCCACACCATATGTATTTGTGGACTTGAACAGTATCCTCAGAAGTCATGATCCAGTAAACTGGAAGCAGGGAATAATCGAATATCTGGACTCGGTAATACTGGCCCTCATCATCCCCATGCAAGTACGGCGCTGACAAGCAGAGTAGATCTGTGACTGTCGCATTAGGAATCAGGACAGACATTATCGAGGGGAGGACGAGCCGGATTACAATCCAGACGATGGGCAGGAGGATTATTGGAACTGGGATTTGCTCGAAGACAAAGGCTTACGACCTTCTGATTTTGATAGAGGGTTGTCGAGACAGAATTGTGGTTGCGATGGCTCCGGGAGGCGCAGGTCGTTTAAGTCTGGCTTGTAAGTGGTACGCGATGTTGAAGCTGTCATAAAGCTGTAGGCTGCAGGGAAGTCCTAGAAAGGAAGGCGGGGACGGAAACGTTAATGGATGGGTGCGGAGTCTTCTTCGGTAGTTGCAGCTTGTTGCAAAAACAAGGGATCGGAATGTTCCGAGGCTGCCGCTGTGCCGCAGGCCCGCAGTCGATAAACATACAGTAATCCCAACTCTTAACTTCTTGACCCCCTCCCCCGAGGGCCGTACGTCTCACACTCCCCACGCTTCCCACGGTGTGAGCTCATCGCCATATACAGCCGCAACAATGGATACAGACCTGGAATCAGCGCTCGACTGTCTGCGCGAGTGAGACGGACTATTCGGCCCCACTTCGCTCTTGTGCTAACGAGCTGGCAGCATCAAGCGGAAGGACCTCGATGCTCAGAAAGAGTATGTGAATTCCAGAAATTCTCCAATCTCTAAAACTGTACTAAAAACTGCGTCAGGGTCAACTCAGTCAAAGATGAAATCGTAGCTACTAATGCAAAGCTCGATGCGTTACAGAAACAACGCAAAGAGATGACGAAAAAGAAGATTGATGCGCTTCTCCGGTAAGTGCATAGAGCTCGGAAACTTGAGATCATCCCCAGCTTAATGTAGTACTACCCACCAGGAATCTTCCGTCAGCTATCCGGCGGTACTCTGCAGCCTGGAGTCTTCCATTCTTCGAAATGTTCCAACAACGTCTACCCCGCGAGCTCCGAGATATGGTCTATGCGCACATCTGGGACAGTAAAACTCTGGCCGATACAAACAGAAGTATGATACCCATCATGGACTCTCGTTGCCGGAGTTTGCGGCAAGACTGCAAGAAAGCCATGACGACGTTCGTCGAATCGGATGCGATTGACGGCTGCCATCACAACCTGGCACCATACTTTATAAAGCCAGTTTTCGTCGGGCAAGACTCTGCCCTTGAAATGATCGAAGCTTGGTATAGTCGCTTGGCTCGCGGCAACGACTACTATGCAATGGGAATACATGTGACTGACATACCGTCTTTCCTTCATCAAGACAAATTTCATGTTGGTCTGAAGCCTGCAGCTATTTTGCGAAGGCTAGCTGTCGTTTTGAACGCTGATTCAACAATCGCAATCCTCGAAGAAGAATCAGACGGCGAGCATGTTTATAAGCTCCACTTCAAAAGGCTTCTGTCCATCGAGAAGAAAAGGGACTTTACGCTGACTCTTCGGGTTCTCCAAAAATACATTAGGCTCAACGTTTGGCAGCGGATCTTCGACACATTTAGGGATACAGTTGTCAACTTTGAGAAAGAGGGAGGTCGTGTGCGGGTCCAGTTCGTGTACGACAGCTTCTACCCACGTCGAGTACCGAAGTATGATATGCTCCCCGCTCTGAGACATCCAGAATCCAACTGGCGAGAGGATGCAGTACGCTTCTTTGACAATGTAAGATCTTCCCGTCATCCATATCCTACTCACTTCATCTGACCATATGCGTGAACCAGGTTACACGTCTGTGCGACATACACAGGGCTTATCGTATCGAAAACAACGACGATTATGACCCCACTTCACGTCTCGAAGATGGCGATACTCCTTACGGGACGGATGAAGACATCTACAGCGATGAAGGCGATAGCGATGACAGTGTTGAAAGGTATCGCCATGATGGTCGAGGAAATTATCCAGGTGCAGTGTCTTCGCCACGTCAGTACGGAAGTGACCTCATACAATGGAAGAACGACTTGCTAGAGGATCTCGAAATGGAAGAAAGTGAGGCAATCAAAGACATGTACGAATACTGGGAGAGCTTCGACGCGCCCAGCTGGGTGGGTGCCTCCTCCGAGTCTGAGCACGTAGATGGACCTGGGTACGACCCAGATTCAGGTTCCGATTGAGAAGGCCGGAATAGCATCACGTGATCACTCATCTCACTCGGGTTTACTACCCTTACTAGTTAGCTCCTCAGTCATTCCAATACATATGATGCTACATAAATCTCTCGCAACCATCAGACGTTCGTGAACACTGACATATACCATGTTGTATGGATGATATACTGCGGCCATCTTAATAGTGCAGGGATTCGGATCTTCGGAATGCTAGCCGGTCCGATGCCACTAAAGCGCGAGCGCCTATCCACCGTGCCACCTCATATTCTTAGCGACAAGACTTCAACCCCAAGGTTCATCCGCATTGATCACGCCACCCAAAAACAGCCATGGAGAGAGCAGCTATGATCGATTGGAAGCTATCGGCTGAGTCCGCAGTGCAGCGGCTTCGCGCGTAGGTCTTTGGGCCCTGTCAGCACCTCATGTCAGATCAGTTCTAACCTAGTTGCAGCATCAAGGGTATGGAATTAGACGCGAACGATACGTACGCAAAGCTCCTAGAGCTTGACTGGTGCACCTTGTGCTAAAATCTCCCAGAATTCGTACAGCTACGCGAACTATCTCAGCATTGAGAAGGCAGATCAAAGCATTAAAAATCGAAGAAGCAAGAGCGCGACAGCGTAAGAGAGACGTTCGGCGCGAGTAAGTCTTGATCTCTCTGAACTCGAGCAAAGACCTCATACAAGACTCCAACACAGACACCTTCCGTTAGCTCTCTCGGCGTTCACCGCCTCATGGAGTCGCCCCTTCTTTGAGCAAATGCAACGGCGTTTGCCTCGTGAAGTTCGCGACATTGTATACGCATACGTCTGGGATGACAAGACACTGAAAGATACTCGTATAACATATCATCCTAAGTGGAATTGCTCTGGGGGCGACATAGATTGCGACACTCTAGTAAAAACGCATCACCCGGGAACAGTGGACAGCTGCCCTAAACATGGACAAATTCCATACTTTATGAGACCTGGATTCGTAGGGGATGCATCGGCCTTGGAGATTGTCGAATTCTGGTACAAGTCGATCTCGAGAGTAAAACCCGACATGTGGGAATTACGAACCACAGACGAACTCGACTACGTTATCCGTGGCGACGCCTTCTCTGTCGGTTTGGATACTACAACTGTTGTGCGCAAGTTGACACTCAGGCTTACTACCGACGGATTCCTAAGGAACAAGGGCAAGGACACCAGCGAATCGAAACGAACTGTCGACGCGCTGCTCCAGATAAAGAATAAGGCGAATTTCAAACTAAGACTGCGGTTGGAGCAGTCATACCTCCAACTGAATCCCTGGTTCACCGTCTTCGACATCTTCCGACCCATGATCGAGAAATTTGAGGAAGAAGGCGCGGACGTAAGGCTGCTTCTTGTCTACGCCCAAGATCTTAAACCGAAATTGGTGTTCAACATGCTCCCCGCGTTGAAGAATCCCGAATCCAACTGGAGAGAGGAAGCCGCTCGTCACTTCGACAGTGTAAGCACACTAATTCTACATCGCTTGCTGCCTCACACATAGTGACTTACAAACATATAGGATTCCCGCGTACGCGAGCATCACAAACACTATCGCATCGAAAACGACGCAGACTACGACCCACGGGAACTTAAGAGCAGGGACTACAGCGAGGATGACTGGGAGTCAGACGATTACCTAGGCTATGAAGAAACTGACTCTGACCGCGATGAAGATGGCAAATCGATTTCTCCGGAACCTCCATGGACCCCTTATGAGCCGCCGCGATATTATGGAACTATGTTTAGAGAGGATCAGATTGAAGAGGGGTATGAGCTGGATAGCGCGAGTGAGGGGGATGACTAGAAGGCAGGAGGCTTGTCAATTTGTTAGAATGGGCAGCATTGCTCGTAAAGCTTTAGTATCTTACAAGAGCTGCGTTTACTATAGATATATACTTTCTGAAGATACGAGGAAATAGACATTACCTTGCCCGATTGTGATCAGATACAACATCGTAAGAATAATAACGCATGTCAGCCAGCGAAGTAGCGCAGAGATTCCCGACGTCATGTCGTCGCAACGCTAGCTGTTCCGACGCCACTAGAGCGCCTTCCTACTTCATGTATCCAGCCACCGTACGTCAACTTCCACATTGCGCTCACCTTGATCGCGATCCAATATCAGCTATGGTGACCTCAAGAGCCGATGATGATGACCTAGAGTGGTCCATAAGACTGCAACTTCGCACGTGAGTCTCGACGCCTTGTCTGCGTGAACATACGTTGCTGCACTATTCTAACCTACTTGCAGTATCAGATACAATGACCCCGCTGCAGATATGGAGTACGTCGCATTGTCACAAGGTCGAACGCACATTACTTGCTAAAGGACCTACAGTCATTCCCCATTTACACCGAAGATTAGGGCGTTGGAAGAGCAACTCAGCCCGCTAGTGCACCGCCGGTGGGAAGACGAGAAACTGCGAAAGAAGTAAGCTTTACAAGACGTCTACATCGCGAAGTTCCTCTGACACGGCATGTACTAAACAGGTACCGTCCCTCAGCGATATGCCGTGCCAGCGCAACATGGAACCTTCGCTTCTGCGAAGAGATGCAAGCGCGCCTACCCCTGGAACTGCGCAACATGGTGTACAAGCACATATGGGACTTTAATACGACCTTTGAAACCTACAATGGACTAGTGTTTCTCGCTCAACGCCGTTGCCAGGGCTTCTGTGAAGGTAAAGAAGAAGAATGCCAAAGGCTAGCCTCTACATCCGAACCCGGAACAAAGAGCAGCTGTCGTTCACATCGCAACACGCCTTTCTTTATGAGACCCGGATATGTGGGCCAGGAAACAGCCCGGGAGGTTGTAGAGGCTTGGTACAACGCTGTCGTTGCATGGTGGCCCAAGACGTGGAACCGTGTCTCTCTTGCCACGGTCGAGTACATGACACGCACCGACGCTTTCTTCGTTGGCCTGAACCCTTCAACGATACTTCGTACTCTCAGCCTAGAGATCTACATCGACTTCCTTTTCATGACGTACGACCGCAACGGACTGTCAGACCAAGCATGCATCGACTCGCTCCTCCGGATCAAGAAAAAGGCCGATTTCAAACTAAGCTTTACCCTTAAGCAGAAATACATCAGCTTCCACTACTGGTCTTTAGCCTTCGATATGCTCAGGCAAGTAGTCGATGTGTTTGAGAAAGAGGGAGCAATTGTCCAAGTCACTTTTGTTTACCTTCACGACGGGCTCTATCCGAAGCTGAAATGGGATATGCTTCCGGCCTTGAGGAGCGGCAACAACGACTGGAAGGCGGGCGCAAAACGTGATTTGGAGAAGGACCGTCGATTTCGTGAGAGACACAGGGTGTATGAAGCCGACACCCTGACTGAAGATTCGGATTACGACGAACTGGATTATCGTTCTGATGATGATAATCGCAAAAGACCGTACTATGGACCCCACAGCGATGACGGTGGTGAGTCCCCTGGAGAGAAGGACTATAGTGCGGACAATATGTACAGAACGTATTTCGAGCCACGAGACTTTGAGCCCCCTCCTCCTTCCAAAATACGCCGGCCGGCGTGGGAAGAACATCTACTGTTGAACGAATAAGGTCCTTGTGCGGAACAAAAGCGGTGGTCATGGTTGAGGCTTTCAAGTCGGACGCATATGTTGGAAGATGATCTTATAACATAAACACTACATATATACAACAAGGCATCAACACCCATCAACACCTATAAACCTCCCCCTCTTACACTCCTCCACATCTACAACTTACTCCCACCCCCCATAAGTTCCGCACCAGCCCCACTAATAGCCAGCTTACCCGTCTCCTTAACCTTAGTCTGGAACAGCACGGTATTACCCACCTTCCACATCTCGGTAATCAGTGTCTGACCGGGTAGCACAACACCCGCAAACCTGACCTTGATGTTCTTGAACGGGCCATACGTCTGCAGAACGTGCTTGCCTGAGATACCAAAGCTGCACAGGCCGTGCAGAATGGGTGTGGGGAAGCCGCCGGCTTTGCTGAACTGGGGGTCGATGTGTAGGGGGTTGAGGTCGCCGGAGAGACGGTAGATAGCAGCTTGCTCTTCGGTTGTGCGTTCCTCGACGACGGTGTCGGGGGCGCGTTCCGGTGCCTTGTGAATCTTCGTTGCGGCGCCGCGGTCAGCACCCTTCTTCTGACCGCCGAAGTTGCCAGAGCCGCGGATGAAGACTGTGCTTTCGTTGTAGAAGATCTCCTCGCCTGTCTTCGCGTCCTTGGTTACGCTTCCGTATACGACGAGCCCTGCGGCGCCCTTGTCTACGACCTCGACTAGCTTGGGTACGGCGACGAGCTTGGCTTCGGTGGGGATGGGGAACTTTCGGATTTCGAGGAATTGCTCGCCGTGGAGGAGCATGCGCGGGTCGAAGTTGGGGACGATTTCGTCGAAGGAGAAGGGGGGTTCGGCGTTGAAGGGTGGGACGACACCGAAGGTGGGGATGACTTGGAAGTTCTCGTCGCCTTCGTAGACGAAGGGCAGGTCGGTGCGCTTGGCGCCAATTCCGAGATCTGGAGATAGTGTTAGTTGTAACTCATCTTGCGGAATGAAGCTGACTTACTGTAAAGAATGACATCCCTCTCGGTGTACTCGAAGGGTGTGCCTTCAGCCTTAGCGGCCAAGGCCTTCTTCTGAGCCTCGAGGACCTCCTCGTTGCTCTTGGTGGGCTTCTTCTCCTTCTTGCTCTTCTTGCTCGTGTTCTCCATGTTGGCCATGATAGACTTGAGACCGCTAGCGTTGTCGAAGGGGTGGTCGGCACGGCCGTCGTCGAAGTTGGTAATGCGTTCCCATTGGGAGAGGACAGCCTCAGGAGTGAGCTTGACGTCCACGGGGAAGCCATGTCCGCCAGAGCGTTGCCACCTGGTTGCCGCAAACCAACCAGAACCCATCTCGTATAGGCCACCTGTTGGCTCAGGAGCCTTGTCGGAAACGAGGAGAATGACGAGAGGAGCGTTGTAGTCGGGCTTGAGGGCCTGTACAACCTCTTCGGGGAAGATGCTGCGGGTCATCTGAGTGCCGGCGTTGGGAGCAACGGTGTTGACGAAGATGTTGTTCTTCTTGCCCTCAAGCGCGAGGGACTTGGAGAAACCGAGGATACCGCACTTCGCTGAGGCGTAGTTTGCCTGGCCGAAGTTGCCGTAGATACCGCTGGTAGAGGTGGTGTTGAGGATGCGGCCGTACTTCTGCTTGAGCATGTAAGGCCAGGCGGCCTTGGTGCAGGAGTAGGTACCGAACAGGTGAACCTTGTGGATGATGTCCCACTGCTCGTCGGTCATGTTGGCAAACGCCTTGTCGCGCAAGATACCAGCATTGTTGATCAGGATGTCGATGCGGCCGTAGGTCTCAATCGCGGTCTTGACGACAGACTCGCCGTCCTGAACATCGCCCTTGTTGCCAACAGCCTCTCCACCAAGCTTCTGGATCTCCTGGACGGTGTTGTCGGGATTCACAAGATCGTTCACCACGACCTTGGCGCCACGCTTCGCCAACTGCAAGCAGTAGATGCGGCCGAGACCAGCACCTCCACCAGTGACAAGAGCGACCTTGCCCTTGAAGTCAAGGGGCTCGCCCTTGGGGTTGGGTGGCAGCTGGTTGGCATGCTCGAGGAGCTCAAGCGCGTTTGCCGGGCCTTGTGGGTGTTCGGCCTTGGAGAAGTCGACAATGTCCTTCCACTTGGCTGGAACAGCTTCGGGTGTGAGGGTCTCGTCGGCCTTGAACAGAGCACCAGAGGCTCGCTCCCATCGTAGCTTGGCGACGTGACCCGCGCCGGCCTCGAAGATAGCGCCAGTCTCGGTGGACGACTTGTGTGTAAGGACAGCGACGAGCGGGACAATCCACTCAGGCTTCATCTTCTCCAAAACATCCGGAGGCATGACGGTCTCGGTCATTCGGCTGGCGGCGATCGGGGCGACGACGTTGCAGAGGATGTTGTACTTCAAGCCCTCCTTTGCGAGTGTCTCGGTGAAACCGACGAGAGCGAGCTTGGCAGCTGTGGAAGTTAGCAGACATTCATTTCTTCACAAAACGCATGTGCATACCAGAGTAGTTTGTCTGTCCGAAAGATCCGAAAAGACCGGCAGCAGACGCAGTGCTGATGACCCTTCCGTACTTCTGTTTCCTGAAGTATGGCCACGCGGCATGCGCGCACTTGTATGCTCCGTAGACATGGACCCGGTAGATCAGATCCCAGTCTGCCTGCTTCATGTTCTTGAAGCTGACATCGCGCAAGATACCCGCATTGTTGATGAGGATATCAATGCGACCGAAAGTGTCGATAGCAGTCTTGATGATGGACTCTCCGTTCTCGACCGAATCGTAGTTGGCGACCGCCTTTCCGCCAGCGGAGCGGATGGTGTCAACGACTTTGTCTGCGGCCTGTCGGGTGAATTAGCGATGAAAGAGGAACTGTGGATGGAATGACATACCGCTGAGCCCGCGCCCTCGCCCTTGAAGCTGCCACCCAAGTCGTTCACAACGACGTTCGCGCCGCGACTGCCGAAGAAGACAGCGTACTCGCGACCGAGACCACCACCAGCGCCCGTGACCACAACGGTCTGGCCATCATATCGCAGCTCCTGCGCAGCCATGATGTGTTCTCTGTACTGTTCGAAGAGGCTACCCCTTCGTTCTTTCGCGGAAAGAAGTTGCGCTTGAGGAATCTCCTATGCAAGCAACCAACAAAGGTATTTAAAGTCAAATGGGTATCAGCAAAGATCCCACGATAGAAAGGTTTAAGTTTTGGAAAGTGTGAGGATGAGAGGATAGGTGGCTGGATGCGTGGAGGATGGCTCAAAAGTAAGGTCGTTCGCGATCTGACCCGGTCGTGTCTCATGAAAGCAGCCGAGCTGTTGATGATGACGAGTTACCTCGGTCCCGACGGCAGTTGGTCATGTGTGGGGATTGCGCACCGTGCACCTCACGCTTTCACATGTCCGCGTCTTGCACCCCATCATCAGCTGGACGAGTCCGGGGTATCACATGATAGTGATTAGAAAGTGCGCAATCTCACACTCGCATATCCAGAGCGTGCAATTTTGGCTGAAGAAGTTCGATGAGATGATGATTCTTGAGCGGATGTGGGGCTGCGAAATGCGCCGCGTGAGGCCCGAACACGCATCGTACGCGTCCTAGATATCGCGATATTGTGGTGCATTGGGAACGGAACAGATGCGATGGCGGATGTGTCTTTCCATCACAGCTGTACCATGCACTGGAAGTGATGGTTTCTTCTTCTTGGTCGTGTCACCAAAAGATGGGCGTCCTACCCGAACAATACCCTGAATGAACCACTAGCAACAGTAGTATATCCAGTACAGAAGAGCTCGTAGACCTCTTCGTGCTGCGTGATGGCATTCTGGTTGACTTCGATCTACTGAACGTCGCTGAATGGAATAATGTAAAGCCTGCTGTTGAACTTTGGTCTTGTTCTAGGCTTGCTATTCAAGCGCAGCAAGCCCGCGAAGTCAAATACCCACACGCCAGGCCCAAACCTTATCACCCGACTAAGCACAGTCGACATCATCGATCCTTTGCAAACACGATTCTCCTCCAGGATCATTGCAACCCACTCAGCATCTGCACCATGCCGAAGGCAACGCGGATCCAGACCCTCATCGTCACCGCTTGTTGCCGGCCATTTGCTCGCTCGCTCAAAGTCAAGGCCGAGAGACTCCACAGCGCTTTCGTACATGAGCGTCCTGGGTACCATTCTTGCTACGCTGGCTCCCATCATGCGCGGTTCGGCCCGTTGACGGACTTGACCGCTGTAAGTATTCGCGTACCTACCTTACCGAGCGTTGAGATCTTCTGTAGTGCACCTATTACATGCCGTGTTTTATTACTGTCATTGAGTAGAGGTGTAAGGCGCCGAATTAGCGGAGTCAAAGACTTGTAGACGCTGAGCAGGGGAATGTGCGCCGGACGCTACCATGACCGACATCACACCGACTACCACATGACGGATATTGTATAGTGAGGCAGACGACGATATTCTGCTCAGTTTGTGGCCGGAAATAAATTTCGCATCTCTTTGAGTCGCGTTTTTCGGTCGACGCAGGTGCTCAAGAGTTTCTCGTAGGAACAAGCCGCGAATTCTTCCGGTGTAGGTGAAATTGTTGAAAAGTTTCTGCTTGTGGTGCCTATATGATGCACTACTTTCTAATGCATCGGAGTCGATGACATAGCCGAATACGGAATGGGAAAAGCTCGCGAGGAGGCGTTATAGGAGTAGTAATCATCGTCGACATACCAGCCTCAAGAATCATATAGATGTAGATTTTCGATGTGCGATTGTGGGCACGAAACCCCCACAGATGCGGGTGGGTGTAACCCGTGCGTCTCATCTTCCTTGCTTGGTCCGGGTCGGATGAACTTTTCTCTTGTCACGAAACAAATGCCTGTTGATTTCTGGTCGGAATCGACATCTGAAGGCTACATTTTTGCTAGAACGCCTCTGGAATCAGCGTTATCCAGAGTTTGGCGCCCCTGAGTGATCAAATGACAACGAGTGTCGCGTCAACAAACCGTATACATCTCGACAGGCCAAAAGTCGCGTGGGGGGCTTGG